CCTGGGGGGGGCGGCCGGCGAGGGGCGCAGGGGGCTTGGCCAGGGATCACGACGGGCTCCGAGTCCTTGGATGGGGGAGCCGGGCGCCCGCCCGTCGCCAGTCTCCTTGTCGCTGCGCGGGCCGGGCATCAGCCATCCCTTCCGAGCATTTGCGCACCGTGATGCGCTTCCCGCGCCCAGGCCTGGTGGAAAACACGTGGCGCCGGGGGGGGATCTGTCCGCAGTGCTCCCAGCGCAGCGTCTGGGACGCGCACAGATCGGGATTTACGCGAAAGCGGAGAGTGGCACTTTCTGTCTATACACCTGCACCCAGTGCATCAAGCAGCTATTGAAGACGTTTAGATTAGATCCGGAAATTATATGTGTAACCCTGTGAAAGCAACACAGGCTTTGCCATTGATTTCAATAAGAACAGGCTCATGTTGATGAGGTAGTAGAGCAAAAAATGGCCAATAATTTTGGATGAAGGGCTACTCTCAGGCTATGTCTACACTCGCGGCTTCTTGCGCGAGTAATATGCAAACGAGGCTAAGTGGGGAATATCGCCGAGCCTCATTTGCATACCTAAGGAGCCACCATTTTTTTCAGAAGAGGCTCTTGCACGAGAAAGAGCATCTACACTGCCCCTTCTTGCGCAAGAAAAGCCCTCTTGCGCAATGCCGTTCTTCCCAAAAAGTAATAGGTGTAACGGCATTGCACAAGAGGGCTTTTCTTGCACAAGAAGGGATAATGTAGACTATGCTCCCCACAAGGGGCATGTGAGCAGCATGTGGGGGCCATGGCAGACCAGGAACCTGCCCAGTAATCCCATTGGGCCATGATGGGATGGATACAAATATTTGGCAGGCCAGATCTGGCCCATAGGCTGTATTTTGTCCACAGCTGTATTACAGGGTATCTAGTATTCCAACTAATTGGTTGGGAATACTTAAGTATAATTAATTCACAGGTAAAGAGCTTCAACAGGCTTAGCCTCATTTGCATATTTCTGGCACAACAAGCCATAGGCTATGTCTACACTCGCATCTTCTTGCGCAAGAACAGTCGTTCTTGCACAAATACTTGCCTGCTATCTACACTGCACTGCGTTCTTGCGCAAGTAAATTTACAGTATAGCGTTGTAAAACAGGGCTTCTTCCGGAAGAGTTATTCCTCTCCCCACGAGGAATAAGCCCTCTTGTGCAAGAGCTCTTCCACAAGAGGGCAGTGTAGACAGGCAACATGAATTTCTTGCACAAGAAGCCCCTATGGTTAAAATGACCATCAGAGCTTTCTTGCGCAAGAAAGCGTCCACACTGCCATGGATGCTCTTGTGCAAAAGCACATCCCTTGCGCAAAAGCATATGCCAGTGTAGACGCTCTCTCTTGTGGAAGACTTTTTGCGCAAGAACTCTTCTGCAAAATAGTTCTTGCACAAGAAGCTTCCAGTGTAGACGTAGCCATAGGCTACATCTAGACTGGCATGATTTTCCACAAATGCTTTTAACTGAAAAGTTTTTCCGTTAAAAGCATTTGCGGAAAAGAGCATCTAGATTGGCACGGATGCTTTTGCGCAAGAAAGCCCTGATTGCCATTTTTGCCATCGGGGCTTTTTTGCACAAAACAGTTTTTACCTGTCTACACTGGCCCTCTTGTGCAAAAGCATTTATCATTTATCCCGTGCTTTATCCTGAGTGGGAGCATCATAGTATTTGCGCAAGAACACTGACAATCTTACATTAGATCGTCAGTGTTCTTGCGCAAATTCAAGCGGCCAGTCTAGACGCAGCCATAGAGTTTTAGACTAGATGGGACCATTATTTCATCTCATTTGATTTCCCGTGTATCATAGGACTTACATTTTACTCGTTTCTGTACAGAGCTCAGTAAAGTGTATTTGGTTAAAGCATATCTTTCAGAAAGACCTCAAGAGATGGAGAAGCCATCACTTCACTTTTTTAGTTTAGTGTGGCTGGGGACTGCAGGGGTGTCATATTGGGTTTTAATGTGAGTAGGCAGATCATTGTTCCACCCACTAGTGTGTGTTTGTCCCAAATTCAGTGCAAAGTGGGCCATGTGAAGTGTCAAACAAAAGCTTCTGCTATGTTTATTCTGGCTAGGCTACTATGTGTTTGTACAATCTGTGTGTGCGAAGTTATTGATATGGGCTTTGTATTCATATTTTACATGTTTTCTGCTGGGAGGGGTGATTGCTCGATACTGCATGGACAATGGCTCTTGAGCAGGTGTTGGCAACCTTTCAGAAGTGGCGTGCCAAAATTTAACTTACTCCTGGATCTACGTGCCAGGGGGAGGAGGGAGAAGCAGAGGCAGACTGGGTACAGTGATCATATTTTCTGAACCAGCTGCAGCTAGGGAGAAGGGTTTAATTTAAATTATTAAACAGATTAAGCATTTTAACTCTCATATTAGTTTGTCAAACTTCATTTTAAATAAAGGAAAATATTATGTCCAACACAAAAGGTTTCAGTGTTTTCTTTATTTATGGTAGGGGGGGTCTCTGCTCCACAGAAAAATCAGTTGGGGACCACACAAGTGAGAACAAAAAAACTCCTTCAACCCTCCCCCCCCCCAGCCCTCACTGATGTGGCCCCCCAGCTGAGACATCTCACTCCTCTGGTGCTCCAGCCTCATGGGATGAGGAGAAGGGACATGGAGGACTGAGATTCAGAGTTTCTCATAGGCCAGATTTACTTTTCTGGGGTGCTGGAGATACCGGATTTTGTGGACCCCTCCCCCCTAAGGCTCTGGGGTAGGGACAAAAATGAGGGGTTTCTGTGTGAGAGACAGGGCCGCCAATGAGTGGGATAGGGATGGGAGTTCAGAATCTGGGAAGGAAGTGGAGTGCAGAAGCAGGCTGGGAGTAGGGTGTCTGGCGAGGTGGAGGGAGCAGGACCAAAGGAGGATGCAGTGTGTGGCCAGGAGGGAGCGTGCAGGAGTCACGGTGGATACAGGATCAGGGTGGGGGTTGTTGTCTGTCAAGGTTGGGGGTGGGGGGAGGGTGCAGAAGCAGAATGTGGGGAGGGTGTGTGGCCAGGAGGGAGTGTGCAGGAACAAGAGAGGGTGTCACAGCAAGCTGGGTTGTGGGGTCTTGGCTGGGAGGGAGAGGAATGAGTGAGTGGGATTGGGATGTGGAGGTCTAGGCATGAGGCAGGATGCTTACCTGGCTTTGTGCCCTCTTGCAGAAATTGCTGTGGCCACGCAGTCCTGGCCCGGCCCCAAAGGTGCTGCTGCCACAGCCATGTGGTCCAAAGCTGGCCCTGGAGGTCCTGCTGCTGGAGCCACGCGGCCTGGGGCTGGACACAGAGGCGCAGCCCCAGTGCTACCTTCTCCCACCACAGCTGCAGGGGGAAGGGAGGGCTCTTTAGCGGCTATGCAGGGGAGATGGGGCAGGGCTGAAAATTGTCTTGCATACTGTAGGTTGCTGACCCCTGCTCGAGTGTTGCCAATTGTCACCTGAGGAGCACACAATGGCCCCTTCCCTGGGAAGGACACAGCTGAGGACACCATGGCTCCTTGGCTAAACAGGACAGAAACTGTTTTGTAGGTCATAGAATATTAGGGCTAGAAGAAACCTCAGAAGGTCATTGAGTCCAGCCCCCTGCCTAAAGCAGGACCAATCCCAACTAAATCATCCCAGCCAGGGCTTTGACAAGCCAGGACTTAAAAACCTCTAGGGATAGAGACTCCACCACCTCCTTAGGCAACCCATTCCAGTGCTGCATCACCCTCCTACTGAAATAATTTTTTCTAATATCCAATCTAGACCTCCCCCACTGTAACTTGAGACCATTGCTTCTTGTTCTGCCATCCGCAACTACCGAGAACAGCCTCTCTCCAGCCTCTTTGGAACCTCCCTTCAGGAAGCTGAAGTCTGCTGTCAAATCCCCCCTCACTCTTCACTTCTGCAGACTAAATAAGCCCAAATCCCTCAGATCTCTCCTTGTAGGTCATGTGCTCCAGCCCCCTACTCAACCCTCTCCAGTGCATCCATTTCCTTTCTAAAGTGGGGGGCCCTAGAACTGGATGCAAAAGTCCAGATGTGGCCTCATCAGTGCCAAATAAAGGGGAATAATAACTTCTTTAGATCTGCTGGCAATGCTCCTCGTAAAGCACCCCAATATGCCATTTGCCTTCTTGGCTACAAGGGCACACTATTGACTCCTATC